GTTAAAAGGAAACCCAACTTTGCGGAGGAGTGAAAGAAATTTTGTAAAGAGGAGACCAGAGGTTCAAATGATGTGACAGAGAGAATTTTCACGCTAAAATGCTTTGGATAATAACTAAATATAAACTTTGGGTGAAAAAAGTGGAATTTTGAAACTTTTAGGTGGAAAAAGTTATTAAGGCAAGCTTTGGGTGGGAAAAAGTCATTTACTCTAAAAAATCATGATAAAAATAATCCTAACAAATTAAATAAGTTTTTACCTCACATTTTTTTATCAAGAGTATAGGACGTTCAGTAAAAGGAAAAAAAATAATATTACATATTCGAACATTTATATACATTCAGCGGGCGTTTGGTTGGGGTTGTGTGAGATTACGGGGCTAAGTCATCTTATATTATTTGATTACCATATTGATTTGTTAAATAATATAAGATTCCGGTAATATTTAAATAAATAGTGACTATTGTTGGTAATATTGGAAATAATGATTATCTCCATTTTTTTAGGTTGTAAGATTACTTAGGTAATTTTTTTTTTTTTTTTACAATTCTATCCATATAAAAAATATTTAGACAATATGCCCTTATTTTTTAATTTATTTACATGAACTTGCTTTTACCATTTCACACCATTTAATTAATTTTGGACAAAATTACCCTTGAAATCAAAACAATTTCAGCTTGCCCAACCACCCCCACCCACCTGTCGCCAGCCAAACCACCCGCCGACGCGCGGAAAGTCACTGGAAGTCACCTAGAGTCACCGTGAGCAGTCCACCGTGATCGGGAGCCCGATATAGCCGTTACTAGCCATATTTGGCCAAAAAGGTCATATTGGAGTAGATCTGGCCGATAAAGGCTAAGGGTCTGGCAGTTAAGCGCCAGACCATCGATCTAGCAGATATGACCTTTTTCGTCCATCAATATGGCCAGAAACGGCCATATCGGAGCCTTATGTCACAGGGAGCTATCACGACGACTTTTGGAGACTTCCGGCGGTGGGTTTGCAACACTGTTTTAAAAGTGTACCGGACAGGGCGGTCCAACCGGTTGGACCGTGAACCGTCACATGTCCTGTTCGAGTTAACATAAAAATGGTATTATGAATAAGCCGTTTTAACCCGTTCGTGGACCGCGTGAACAATACTGGACCGCCGGTCCAACCGAACCGCAAGCAAAACCGGCCCAATATTGGAAAGGGAAAAAAAAACCCTAATTTTCTCACTTCTCCCCCATCGAGCAGTTTCTTCTTCCTTGGTTCCTTTGCGCGCAAAATACTCTAGAATTTTTTTTTAATGAAATTGCGAAAATCTGAAATCCCACACAAATCAAAACCGAATCTTGCTGAAATCGCAACCATTCGTTGCTGAAATCGATCACAACTCAGTCTCTGAAATCGAGACGACGCGTTCTCCCGCTGGAAATCGATGATGCGTTCCTCCCTCGCTGGAAATCGATGAGCGTTCCTCCTCGTCAGAAATCGACGCATGAAGGCTGATTGGCATGCATGTCTTGACAATCCAATTGATTCAAGGTGAGTTGCAAACAATAAATGATAATTCTGTATCTTGAAGTTCCCGGAATGGGTATCTACTTATGCAGATTAGTATAACTGCTATGATGTTACTATATTTCAGATATTGTGTGATGACGTCATCATGATGTGTGATACATCACTGGTTCAACCGGTTAGATTGGTTGAATCGTGACGAACGAAGAGGGGTTGCCCTCCGGTCCGGTTTTTAAAACAATGGTTTGCGGTGGCGGCAAGGGGTGAGGGTGATTTTGTCAGAAATTAAGTTATATAAGCGGGTGTGTTTTAGCTAAATCTGAAATATGGGGGTTAAAAGAATTATTCAAAAATTAATAATACAAAAATATTATATTATATTTAAAAAGAGGGTAATTTAGTAATTTAAATAACATATCCACAATGAGCAATACTACTCTTACAAAGACAAAAACAAAGGGTCATACAAAGACAATTCCCCTATCTTCATGATTTCTCTCTCCTTCTCCCTCTTTTTCCCTTTTTTTTTTGTTTTTTCCTTCAGGTGATGTCACTTTGTAGCTCTCTTTGTATGTCTTTGTAGGATAGTATTTTTCATCCACCAATTATTCTTTCTAACGAAACATATTAATAACATATAACACTAGCTAACAAACACATTTTTCTAAAAATTTCCAGAATCTTCAAAGTAAATAAGATTCCAGTAATCCAACATTTTTGATAATCCAACATTCCCTGAACCACGCCCTCAAATATGTGACGTAATGAAGAGAGATGAATTTATATAAAGTCAACTTAAAATTAAAAAAAAATTAGTGGAATGTTACAAAAACAATGGCAGATATCCATATTGTATATATATTTTCTTAGCATGGCATCACCTAAATCTAATTCTATCTAATGATTTTCAAAATAAATTAATTACAAATAATTTGTTATAGAATTAAAAAAAAAAAAACTGTCACATTTGGAACTTTAAAAAACACAATAAATAGTAACGCTAACGAGATCATGTCAAAATGTTGGGACACAAATGAAAGAAAATAAAGTTTTCAGTACAAATTCTGAAAAAAAAAAGGAAAAGTGATAAGATTAAATAGCTGGAGATGGGGCCCGTACTGTGATGTGTGGGGGCCAGATTGGCTGGCCATAATTGGAGAAGAGACCCCAGGCAGACAGTAATAATGAGGTGTCATAAATCGGTAGGATTAATGGGCCCTATTCTACATCTTTTTAGGCCCATAGAAGTGGGTCCTTGTCTGCTGTAGGCCCATTCAAAGAAGGTTGTTGATTCATTTGCTTACCTTAAATATATTTAAAAAAAAAAAAGAAAAAAAGACATCATTAAAGTAATAAAGCGGACACATGAAAGTCACATGGAATTTGCTGATTTGGTGCAATCTGATTGGTAGGTTTGTGTAGAGGTGTCGGTGATACATGAAATTGAGACATTAGCAATTAATTGTTAGATTAAATAAAAAATATGAATAATTGAAAAAATATATTTCACTCTCATTTTAATATCTCAAATAAAAATTTATAATAGTAAATGAAAATAATAAATAAATATATATATGTATATAATTAGTCAAAATTTCCAAACTTAATTATATTTATAAATTAAAGTTGCAACAATTTGTTAAACAAAGATGGGACAATTAACTATTTCCTTGTTGACTTAATTAAAGTTACAATACATTTAATCAAAATCTATGAAGATTTTATTAATATTTTGGTAGAGCAATCAACATCCATAACAAACCAAACTTTTCCTATGTTTTTGTTACATTTATCATGAATCAATAATTTATTTGAAGATAGGCTAAACAAATATGTCAACCTTTCACTTCATTTAGAGCCATTTTAAGTTTAACAAAAAGTTGACTCTTTTAACTTTAATTAAAGTATCAAATTAAGCGCTTTTAAAAAGATTCAAAGGGTAAAAGTATTTTCTTTCTAAAAAAAAAAGGTTTTTGCTTAATGAAAGAGGTTACTATCTTATTTAACTAATTTCCACAATAAAAGCACAAAAATTGCTTTTTGAAAAACAACCAAAAAACCTCTCCCCTTGTGACCGGATGACAAACTCGTTAACCACTGGGATTAATTATATTTAAAAGGTCTTATATTCAAGTCGTATGAGAGGTATCTACCACATAATTTGTACAATTATCTTGATCTATTTAGTTTGTTTGTAGGGTATTTCGTGGCTTTGAGGATTAGACATACTCTTAAAAAAAAAAAAAAACCAAAAAAAAATATGCATAATATGTATATATATATATTTCATGACAGATTAGCTAGGTGGTCAGGTACGTGGTTTGCTCTTACAGGTTTGAGATTTATGGGCACCTACATGGTCAATAAAGGCATATTTGAATTTAGCTGTCTAGTTTCAAACACGTATAATAAATCTATTCTCATGTTCTTGAAAAACAATTTTTTTTTTTTAAATTTTTGATTGCTATTATTTTCTATTTTTTAATAAAATTATTATAAAGATAATTTTTGATAATTTTTTTTAATTGTTTATCATAAGGTGATGATGTTAATAAAGAAGTCCTAAATGCAAGGCATGGGTGATGGGGCTGCTCTAAACTGTTGACGAAATTAAAAGGGCTAAGGCCATACCATGCCTTGCCCATCAACGACAACCCATGTGGACCCAATTCACATGGGGATGACTTTTGATCCAACCAACGCTCCTGATTTCTCTAATCAAAATGGAAGAATGAAGATGGAGCGTTAGATGTGCAGTCACGGTCTTCAAAATGAGCGGCTAAGGTTTGTCCCAAACTTGTCCCCAATATACAAGGACATGAACCTCAGTTATGCTGTTCATGTGACAAACACCCTTAGTTGCCTTTGTTCAAATTCATGCACTCTTAGTCTCTTAAAGATGCTCTCTCCACGCTCTCTTTCCCCACCTATATCCCACTCTATCCCACCAAATAAGGGTAACAAATAATGGTAAAAATTTATATGATTACAACTGAATTATACAAATAAATAAAAAATAAAGAATAAAATAGTATTTTATATAAATTTTGTATAATTTTTATCAGATTATATTACCCAGTTATAAGCAAAATATTATTAAAATTATACACTCGGAGTAATTTATTATTTTTGGGTATAAGGGGGAAAAATAATTTTTGAAAACGCATTTGTTAAAATTTTTACCTTAGGACCTAGATCCTAGAATTTTTGATTAAACAAGAATTTCAGTGACTACTCTTATTAGTAGTTAAAAAAAAAATTAAACTCAAAAACATCTTAAATAATACATTTAAAAATCTATTTTAAATCACTCGATTTCCCGGTGTTAGTTTCCACGTTAAAATTCTCTCTATGAAGAAGGTATATGTAGTTACTTACCATGCATGCAGACGAAGCTGTGCACGCGCTGTCAGGAGTGGTGGGGCTCTCTTCGTTTTCAATATTCTTAGCCTTCACCGCCTTAGTCCTTCTATAAAACACCATTAATTTTGCTTTCGTCAACCACACGTTTTCTCACAACAACTCTCAACCAATTTGCAATTCATTAACTTCTCATCAAATCAACAATTTGATTCCAGTTGCATAAAGAAGGTGTTCAAGATTATAAACTACAAAGATCTTGTAACAAGAAGAAAGTTATGGCATTTATCGAGACTAGAGATCTTAACCTCGATGCTACCGAGCTTCGGTTAGGCCTCCCGGGCACCACCGAAGAATCCGAGAAGCAAACACCTCCTCCTATTGCTAGAAGCAATAAAAGGGCATTGCCCGATATGAATGATGACCAGCCTGGACCTTGCAACGACAATTCTCATATATCAGATGCCAAAAAATCTGCTCCCCCCACCAAGTAAGCAAATCTTACAACTTTTTCTATATATTTACTTTAGTTTTATAGTTGATTATTCATGAGTATTGATGGAAACGGATCTTTATTCTTACAGGGCACAAGTAGTAGGGTGGCCACCAGTTAGATCTTACAGGAAAAACTGCTTCCAAGGGAAGAAAGTGGAGTCGGAAACTGCAGGAATTTTTGTGAAAGTGAGCATGGATGGAGCTCCTTATCTCAGAAAGATTGATTTAAACATCTATAAGGGCTACTCTGAGCTGCTTAAGGCCTTGGAAGAGATGTTCAAGTTCAAAGTCGGAAAGTATTCCGAGAGGGAAGGCTACAATGGCTCCGAACACGTACCGACTTACGAAGACAAAGACGGCGACTGGATGTTGGTCGGAGATGTGCCATGGGAGATGTTCATCACTTCCTGCAAGAGGCTGAGGATCATGAAAGGATCAGAAGCAAGAGGGTTGGGTTGTGCTGTGTAGTTCAAAATCAAATCCCATTATCCACAGGCACTAACATGTGATAAACAAGTTGAGAATTACAGAAGAAAATCCATTGTCTTTTCAGCTGAGTCTTTTTTTTTTTTTTTTTTTTTTTGGATTTCCTTCTTTGTTTGCAGACGAAGCACAATTTTTTTTTTCTTTTTAAGGGGAAAAAAAGAACTCCCCGTACAGATTGGCTTGTTTTCTTGTAGTGGAAATTGTACAAAGAAAAACATGTTATATGTACTTTCACAAGTTTTTTTTTTTCCATATATCAATGAGAAATTATGTTACCCAAAAGTTACATAAAATGGCATCTATTCGGAAACTGAACCTCTTATTCTAACAGATCCAGATCTAGTGTGCCTTGAAGGAAATGATGCCATTTTCATTTCCAGAGTTTTAGGATCTCAATATGTAAAGAAACACTTACTATTTGTAATTCCAATCTTAGCAACTTAATTGGTTGATTTCAAAGAGTTTTTATGCTACTTATTGATTCCATTATCATTTCCAGAGTTTTTTTTTTTTATTTTTTTGCCGTGGATGTCTGAGTCACCTTAACTAATCATTTGAAACCTTGAAACTATCGGCTGGATAAAAGCTTCAACAATCACATTTATTAGCAATCGTGAGGACTTAAACTCGAGAAACTAACCGGACTTAAACTCGTGAAACTATGTTAGATTCTCTTCTTGATCTTTTACAGGTTATTTCTAGAATTTTAGGATCTAATTCTTGACAATTTACAAAGAGGGTTAGTGTACAGAAGATTTAGTTTTAAATTGTAATATTCTACTGTGTTATCCTAACAAAACTTCAAATTGTTTTAGGAAATGATTTTTAACCCCATCAAGTTGATCAATATCCTCCTCCATTACTATTGTATTTAAAAAAAGAAAAAATCTTTAAATCCCGTTTAATACTAAAAATAGCTCAGCTTAATAAGGGTTTCTGTTTGCACTCATTTCCCCCAATTTCAAACTTAATTAGGGTTTTTGTTTACACAAATTTCCTCAAATTTCAAGTGTGAAACTTTTTTTATTTATATTTATATTCATCTTTTTATTTGATTACATTCTCTAGAAAAAATGTTTCAGATTTAGGATATTTAGAGTTAGGTTTATGATTAAGAATTAAATGTTAAAAAATAAAATTTAAAAAAATAAATTCGAGTAGAAAGTATTATATCACTTATAAAAATTTTCATAAAGGTTAAAATTCTTGAAACATAAAAAATATTTAAAAGTGGGGATACGGATCAATTTGGGCTGAAAATCACTTCCCTTAGTATTTGAAGAACAAAAACCTGGCCCAACCCAACCCAGCCCAGCCCAGCCCAATCGAAGGCCCATCTTCATCCCTCTTTGACTCTGAGATTGTCTTCCTTATTCCTATTGACAACTCTCTGTATTACGACCGACCTTAATTATGTCGGCGCTCGCCACGTCTCATCTAATAAACTCTGGTAAGTTTTCATTGATTTTCTTTGTTTATGTTTGCCTATGCTTTGATCGGTTTCTCCTTTAATTTTTATTAAGGGTTAGTTGATTTTGGGGAAATTAAGGGTCCGTTTGTTTTATTATTTCAAACCCTATTTCGTATCCTATTCCCAAAATACCTGTTTGTTTAATTATCTGGGAAATACTATTATATTTTTTTAATTACTTTTAGACATCTTAAGTTTATTACTTTAAATAAACACCCCTAGAAAAAAAGGTTTAAAAATTAACAAAAACGCCCCCACTCACCCATAGTTGCCAGATTCCGGTAACCACCGTCGGTGGTTACTAGAATCTGTCACAACGACGAAGAAATGACCGGAAATAGCTGTTAATTCGCCGATCTAGCCGTCGAAGAAGGCCAAATCTGGCCTTTTGCGGCCGAATCCAACATGGATTTGGCATTTTCTGGCCAGATCCATGGTGGATTTGGCTGGAAAAGGCCATATCGACGCACGACCGGCTAGATTTGACCGTTTTGTATCGTAATGCCATTTTTGGCCAGATTCCGACGGTGGTGGCCGGAATCTGGCACTGTGGGTGGGTGGGGGTGTTTTTGTTATTTTACAAAATTTTTAGATATTGGGGTGTTTAGTTAAATTAGCAAACCTAGGGGGTTTTTTTTGTTAAATTTTAAATTTTACCTCGTAATACTCACCCTATTCAACTACCCAATATTATTCCCAAAATCCTATCCAAAATAACAAAACAAATGCACCCTAAATTTCACGGTTTTGGTGAGTAACAGAATGGATTCTCAAGATATGTTAAAAATTTGATTTTTTTGATGCTCAGTGCAAGTTTTTTACATACTTATGGAATGTGGGTGATGTTTAAATTGGGATGGTTTATGTTGATTAAAAGGAATTAAATTCGGTTTTATTGCTCTATGACATTATTGAAATATGGTTTGATTGCTATGACTAAATTTTGAATTTTATTGAGTTAGAATGATTTCAGTAATCGTGTTGTAATCTTAAATGATATTTGAAAAATGGACTAACATCATAGTTTAGATAACAAGGCTACTTTTGATATTTCGTTATAAAAATGGGCTACATGTGAGTGTGTTTTGATATATTTGACAACTCTGGTAAACCCTAGAGGGTGCTTTTAAAATTTTGGCAAGTAAACCAGAAAAACTAATATTTAACATGTCAAACGTGTTTTTGATATATTGACATCACGAGGGGGCTTTTCATATATTGGTAATTAAGGGCTTATTTAAAAACTTGAGGGTGTTTTTGATATATTTATAACATAATGAGCTTGATTGACATTTCAACTCAAGGATGCTTCTGATATATTTGTAAATACATGTGCTTAAAAATATTTAACTCATTGAGGGTGCTTTTGATATTACGGTAAGTGAAGGGGCTAAACAAAATTTAACACATTGAGGGTGTTATTGATATTTTTGTAAACTAATGGGCTCAATAACAGTTTACAACTATAGGGTGTTTTTGGCATATTGGTAAGTACATGGACTTTGATGATATTTGACATAACGAGGGTGCTTTTAACATTTCAGTAAGTATAAAGACAAAATTGAAATTTAACAAGTCGAGGGTTTTTTTTGATATATTAGTAAATACATGTGCTTAAATAGCATTTAATATCTTGAGGGTGCTTTTGATATTACAGTAAGCGACAAAATTTAACACATTGGGGATGTTGTTGATATTATTGTAATTTAATGGACTTAAATAATATTTGACATACAGAAGGTGATTTTGATATTTTGTTTAGTATGGAGGCAAAATTGATATTTAACATATGGAGGGTGCTTTTGATATTACCGTAAGTGAATGGCCTAAATGAAATCTAACACATTGAGGTTTTTTTGATATAATTGTAAAGTAATGGGCTTAATTGATATTTGATAATTTCAGTGCGTATTGACATATTGGTAAGTACATGGGCTTAAAGGATATCTGGCATATTGGTATGTACATGGACTTGAATGATATTTGACATACAGAGGATCCGTTTACAATTTTGTTAAGTTAGGCTAAATTGATATTTAACAAGTCGAGGGTGTTTTTGATATATTTATAACTTAATGAGCTTGATTGATATTTGACAAATCAAGGGTGCTTCTAATATATTAGTAAACAATAGGCTGTTAATTAAATTTCCATCATGAGGTAAGAGAAGTCCAAGTCTAAGACCAGAATACCCTTTCAAGTATTTTAGAACCTTTGTAGCTGCATCCATATGAGATTATTTTGGCCCATGCATGAACTGATTGAGAATATGGACAACATAGCTGATATATGGTTGTGTCATCGTAAGATAAATTAGACAACCAACAAGTCTTTGGTAATGTGACAGATCCTCAAGAGGTGGATCAATATCTGAAGATGATATCCCATTATCATATTCTTGAGTGGTGAGGTTGGTGTTTTGTTCAACATGGATAGTAATTGGTTTGCAGGTTGATAACTCAGAGTCTAATATGAGCTCTAAGACATATTTACGTTGACTAAAAGATATACCAGCTGGAGATCTTGCAATTTCAATTCCCAAAAAAAATTCAGCTCTCTAAGATCATTGATACGGAAATGCCAATTGAGATGCTCTTTTAAGTTGCCGATACCCACTTCATCATTCCTTGTGATTAGGATATCATCAACATAAATAATGAGAGTGATGAATGATTTACCTCGACACCAAGAGAAAATTGCATAATCATGCTTGGACTAAATAAAACATATGCCTGTGAATGCCTCTGTGAACTTTGCATTCCATTGTTAGGATGTTTGTTTTAAGCCGTAAAGAGATTTTCGTAGACGACATATTGTGACATATTGTATTCTTCCCATGTCTACGAATACCCAGAGGAAGATATAAATGTCCTCATGAAGATCCCCATGAAGAAATGCATTATGAAATCCATTTGGTTCAAGGACCATTTGCGAACAGAAGCAACATAAAGAAATGCTCGGATAGTAACATGTTTGGCAATAGGGGAAAAAGTCTCCTGATAATCAAAACCTTTGCGTTGAGTCAAACCTTGGGCAACAAACAGGCTTTGTAGCGTTCAATTGAGCTATTAGCACGAAACTTGATTTTGTAGACCCATTTACATCCAATAGGTTTAAGGTGAGTAGGGTGAGGTACAAAATCCCAGGTATAATTATGAGCAAATCATTAAGCTTGTCTACCATAGTCTGGCGCCATGGGTGTACTGAACAACTTCAGAGTAATAGGAAGGTTCCCCGTTGACAGATATCTAACTAACACAAATCTGATGGACAAGGGAGAGCTTGTCAAAACTAACATAATTAGAGGTGGGATAAGGAGTACTTGAGGACGTTGGGCTGGTGGGACACACATAATCAGCTATCCAAATGGTGGTCAAGAGACATGAGAGGACCACCATTGTGAAGCTAGCTCCAGAGGCAAAACAAGAGACCCTGGAGGAATATTAGGAGAGATATCACCAGATGTAGAAGATTCTACTAGATGTGAATATGAAGGAGGGTCATTTGTAGCAACTGGTGAAGGATCAAAATCTGGCTGTGGTGAACTAGTGTTAGTAGTAAAGAGCATGATAAAATGAGGTGTTGGCGAAGATGCTGAGAAATCTTCATCCAAGTTTTGACATAAGGGCTGAGAGGAGGAATTGGAGTCTACACCAATTTCTTTAAAGGGAATAGTCTTTATGAAACACAATATCTTGAGAGACAAAAAATCTTTGCTTAACTGGATTATACAATCGATAACCCTTTTGAAATATATGATAACCCATGAAGATACACA